AGATCCTTTTTGTACAAATGTAAGGCCAAACTTGAAGTTTCTCTTTTTTTGGGGTCAACTGGATTTAGTTAAACCTTTTGTATGCATCATGGAAAACCCACAGAAAGACAGAGGTGCTTTTTCTGCCATCCCTGCTTCCATGAGCTGCTGTTTCCAATGGCGGGAAATTGAAATACTCAACAATAAATGCTTATTGCTGTAATACTTAAATATTTGAAATCTGTTAAGGGAGGGGTTTTTATTATTATTATTTGAGTGTTGCTTTATTTAACTATTATTAGTTCTGTGGTTTTTAGATCACCACATCCTGACCAACAAAATGGTCGGAATTTATTCTGGGCTGTGTTATTTCTTGAAGTCTGAGGGATAAAAAGGGATGGTTATCTCTTGTCAAGCTCCTTGGAGAGCAATGAGGAAATGAGCAATAAAAGGTTCTTTGAGGCTCTTTTAACTGTAGTTTATCATCTATTATAGTTACTGATGTGTGGAAACCAACAGAAATATTTTATGTGTTTGTAGTTACAAAGCCCTTAACAGCTGCAGCTATGAGCTGAGCACTTACAGCTTTTTGAAATGTGTTTTTATAAATGTAACATTAAATCATTGTGTTTTTGTAAAGCAGTCTCCTTAAGAAAATTCCTGAGATATTAATATATGGGTTGACATATTCAGTCAGGGCTGGTGAGTGAGTGCTCATTTGGTCTTGTTTGTTTTCTAACTTCAGTAGAGCAATGCACAATATGAGCATTTTTGGGGCAGGATTGATGATGACTAAAATGCACAAAGCAGTACTGCATTTCATTTCCCCTCGCTGGATGCACTGCTGAATGGGAAATCAGGGTGGGAAGAGGAAAACTGAGTGAGTTGAGTGCAGTCAGCATAACAAAGGACACAGGACTGTGCAAACCTCTTTCTCCTCACCAGGATTGGAGCACACAGCAAATGGCTCCACATTTCTCTGTGAGGGAGCCAGGGATTTTCAGAGACTCAGCCCTCAGGAGCACTGGTCAAGCAATTACTATGGAGAGTGCTTTCTACCCCCAGGGTAGTTGGCTCTTTATTACCATCTCCTGTTCCTCATGGGTCTTTTCCTGCAGTTTTAGGATGGGATTGTGCTCTTCTGTGTATTGCCCTCCCCTCTGCATGTCTCTTCTCATGTGGCCTGGGTGAACTTCTTGCATCTAATCCTCTCCACTGGGAATGATGAAGCTAATAAGCCATGTGGATCCCCTGCAAAGGAGGGCACGAAGGGGGCTGTTCTCAGCTGTACACATTGCTGGGTAATCGTACTGCCAAGGGCATGTGATAAAACAAACACACGGAGAATGCAGATGTGTCAGCTCTTGTCTTCCACAAGAAATTCACTCTTTGGCATCCAGATTGCTGTTGATGTTGTGGCCGTACCATCTGCATTTACACCATTGCAGCCCTGGTGTGGGTCACTGGCTGGTCTGAAAGTGTGTTCCTCTGGCAGGAGTATTCCCCAAAGGCCTCTGAAGCTTGTGCCAGGATCCAGCATGCAGATTTGTCCATTGAACATGGCCAAACACGAGTCCCATGCATTGGAATTCCAGTAACTCAAGATGTCTGAGAATATGCAACAGTAAAACAAAGAGCAGCCATTCAGCTTCCAAAAATTGCTTTAAGCCAGAAGAGACAATGTTGTTTCTGCTGGTCTGTTTTAAATCAACCCAAATATTATTTTAGAGCCAGAGCTATAATTTAGTAAAACTGATACAATCTTGGAAAGCCAAGAAAGTATTAAGAAATATCACTGTAAGTTGAGACCTACAGATGCTGCAATAATCTGCATTTTAAATGAAATAGACATGCCAATTAAATACTGACTGGACACACTGCAGAAGATGATGGGTAACCTTTTCAACAAAAATCCTTAAAATTTAGAAGGATTTGTCTGCATGCAAAAGCGGAACCATTTTCCCAATGCTACTTGCAACTGAAATATTCATATATAGGAAAGATTACTGCCATGGGAATTTACTCAGTTGTATCACTGGTTGCCATACTTTAGTGATCATTTAGGCTACTAGTAAGGCTACTTCCAGGATCTTCAGCTCTGCAGAGGAGTTCTGGGGATAAGGAGTAAGGTGCAAGAGTCTAACAGCCCTTGAAGAGCTGCTGCTGCCACTCTTCCTGTGCAGGGGCTCTAAATAGCAGAGATTAAAGTCATTGGTGGTATTTTTTATGAAATGTTACATTTTTGGATTGGGTTTGCTTTCTCTATAATTTTTCTTAAATTGATAGCTACATTCTGTCCATTTTGCAGAAATACAAATTGAGTTTCACCACACATTTTACTTGAGAGGGAAGTTACTGGCACACAAAAGTTAACTGACTTGGCATGTGAGAAAATCTGCTTTAGAGCTAGCATTGGAGGATGCCAGAGCTGCTTCCCACCTCTCCCACATCCATTTCTATCTTGTGCTTCTGCCTAAATAGGAAAAGTGAAAAAGCATAGATGGATAGAATTGTTACTGCTGGAAAAGACTGGTTGGTCTAATAGAATCAAGTCCAGGCATTAACCTGACACTGCCGTGTTCACCACTAAACCATGTTCCCAGGTGCCACGTCCATGTGGGGTTTTTAAAACTCGCAAGGATGGTGGTTTTATCTCTTCTCTGGGCAGCCTGTTCCAATGTCTGACCACCTGTTCTGTGAATAAATTTTTTCTCATATCACAGAATCAAATAGGTTGGAAAAGACTACTGAGATCATCATGTCAAAGCTATGACCAAACACCATCGTGTCAACTGGACCTGGCAGTAATGCTCCCCTGGTACAGCCTGAGGCTGTTGGCTCTTGCCCTGTCACTTGTTACCTGGCAGAAGAGACAAACCCTCACCTGAGTACAGCCTCCTCCCAGGGAGTTGTAGATAGTGATAAGGTCTGAGCCTGAGCCTCCTTTTCTCCAGGCTGAGCACCCCCAGCTCCCTCAGCTGTTCCTCTCAGACCTGTGATCCAGACCCTTCCCCAGCTCTGTTGCCCTTCTCTGGATGTGCTCCAGCCCCTCAATGTCCTTCTTGCAGTGAGGGACACAGCATTCGAGGTGTGGCCTCACCAGTGCTGAGTGCAGGGGAACAATCCCTGCCCAGTCCTGCTGGTCACACTGTTTCTGATCCAGGCCAGGATGCCATTGGCCTTCTTGGCCACCTGGGCACACACTGGCTCATGTTCAGTCCCTGCTGACCAGCACCCCCGGGTTCTTTTCCAAGGGCAGCTTTCCAACCACTTTTCCTCAGCCCATAGGACTGCATGGGGTTATTGTGACTCAAGTGCAGGACCTAGGACCTGTCCTTGTTGAACCTCATAAAATTGACCCCAAAATTGATCCAGAGTGTCCATATAAAATAAAGCATGAAAATTTCTGGTGATACTTGTTTCATAGCTTCTTTCTTAAAGATTCAAGCTGACTTACAGGTAAGATAGTCTTCTAGTGAATGTATTATTTCCATTGAAACATCAAGACAATATTATTAATTATTCACTTAGGCTCCATATTTTTACCATTAAAAATACAGATCTAGGCACTACACACACTTTTTGATCTTTTTGCTAAACACTAATGTTATTAATAGATACAGAGAAGTCATAATGTCTTTGAGGAATCAGTATTATTTTTTTTTTACAATGTTTTTTACAATGTTGATGTTAGTTTTTCTCTGTGTAAGTGTTTTAAGATATACAATGGTGTTGGTCAGCATATTTCTAGCAAGAATATTTTCCTTGAAAATGTCCTATGATCATACAAAACCTCCATTGTTTGTATTTGTTATGGCTTTTACAGACAAAATACTAGCATATTTGAAATTAATTAATAAGCCATACTTGATGAAGGAAATTAAAACCTAACACATGGTAGTGACATTTTAATCTATCCTAGTACTGACTTCATCTTCCATGATATTATTTCTTAAAATTTGGATCCATTTTGTTCATGTTATACCGTTGGAGGTTTTGGCACTGAATCTAGTGAAGTCATCATCCAGGCCTTGGCCTGAGCCTGGAACATGGTGCATATTTTTATTGTGATTACCAAGAGCTGACTAAAATGATTTCTAAGTGTTTAAGAGAAACTAAAATAACAGACTGCAATAGCCAAAGTTGTCTTCATAGAGTCATAGAATGGTTTGGGTTGGAAGGGAACTTAAAGACCATCTCGTTCCCACCCCCTGCTGTCAGCAGGGACACCTTTCTCTAGGCCAGACTGCTCAAAGCTCCATCCAACTTGGCCTTAAACAGTTCCATGGATGGGGCATCCACAGCTGCTCTGGGCAACCTGTGCCAGTGACTCACCATCCTCATAGTAAAGCATTTCTTCTTGATATCTAAGCAAAACCAACTCTATTCCAGCATAAAGCCTTTCTCCCTTGACCTGTTACTCCAGGCTCTTGTGGAAATAGTCCCTCTCAGTTTTCCTTCTAGGCTCCTTTTAGGTACTGGAAGGCCACAATAAGGTCACCCAGAAATCTCATCTTTTCCAGGCTGAACAAGTCTAATTCTCTTAGCCTTAGTTCCTTATAGAAGAAGTGCTGCATCCTTCAATCATTTTTTGTGGCCTCCTTTGGACTTGCTCCACCAGTTGTCCTTCCTGTGCTGGGGACCCCTTAGCTGGATGCCATATTGATTGCAAAGCACCGTCGAGACCATAACATATCACTGATACAAGAAAAAATAACATTGCTGTAAGAAAAAATGATTGATATTGATAAGTGATTGATGAACTTCAAAAGTTCAAAGATTGGAAACTTGAATTCCACCGATTTGAAAGTTGAAGTGATGTTTCAAAAAAAAAAGTTATAGAAAATTAACTTGTCAGATTAATTCTAAGAAATGTGGGGGCTTTTAAGAGTACCAAATGAGATGATGTGAAGAGTTCTGGAGGTTTTTGTCTGCCCAGGAGTTGATAGTACATCTGTGTAATTAACCTAACAAAATAAAGCCTAATGCATTACTCATTTTGTTGCTTGCTTGCTCCTCAGGTTTGCCAATTTGTCGTGTCTGTCAATGGCCTCAATGTTCTCCATGTGGATTACAGGACAGTAAGCAACCTCATCCTGACCGGCCCTCGAACAATTGTGATGGAAGTGATGGAAGAAGTGGAGGCCTGAGAAGGCACAAAGTCCCTGTTATGGACATTTTTGTGCGACGAATAGCAACAGCCATGGAGTGTCATGACACAAGGCAGCAGAATGTTGTTCTGTCTAAACAGATGATTTTGCTTTTAGGGGAGGGGGCTCTCTTTCCTTTAATAATAGCACTGGTGATTATGCTAAGATGTGAGCAATAGCTACCAGCTTATTTTCATCATGGACTTCTCTGTGCCCAACAGAGACAAAACCAGGGCCTTTAGGTGGTCTGTCCAGCCATGGCTGCATCGGGCAGAATGGGCTCCAGCCTAAGAGGCTGTGCATATTTCCTCACAGTCCACTGCTGGATCAAAGCACTGCAGGAGGTGAAAGAGCCAAGCACTGTGGGGTTGGGGTGTCACAGATGATTTCCATGAGATACTGACATTGATAAACATGGTCCTGGTGTCCAGCTTTGTCCCTGGAGCACATGCAGTCACAGTTGCTCTCTCCTTGGGCTGAGGGACAGCTGACTAAATCCTGGCTTGATTACAGTCAAACACAAATGAACTGCAAATGCATGAGAAAAGGTGTCTGTGCTCTGTAGAGGATAGTCTGGTATGAATGTTTGGGCCTTACTGATTACATGGGTTAGTCTAGAAAGAAAATGGGAAAACGTGTGGTCTTTTACAAAAACTGCCTTTGCAAATTGGTCTTCTGGTTTCAATGCTTGTGTGCTGGATAAGGTGCTTGAGTATAAAATATTGATTTTGAGTTTTTTTCCATACCTGTAAAGGAAAGATGCCTCAGTCTTACTATTGATCACTTCAGAGAAGAACCTTAATTCCCAGAAGAAGAATATTTGGCAGGTTGTAGTGGGAAATTCACAGTGTTAGCATAAGGAATGATACATTCAGATTCTCCAGTAGCAAAAGCACACTTTAAACTGAAGCAATGTACTTGAATGTACATGAAGCTTATGAGCACTTTCCAATCATCTGATGTTTTGCAAAGAACCAACTTCCCTCATGAGCTCCATTTGACACTGTTACAAAGAAAACATTGTATTTAACTGACTCTTATTGTTTCTCAAACAGTAGGATTTTTTCATTGATGAATTAATGAAAGAAATATTTTTTAAAAGCATATATAAAAATTCCGTATTCTGCAGTTAGGTGACTCTTCAACTCAGTGTTAGGGGGACTGCATGGGTTTTCTTTGATCTTTGAACTGAATGAATATATCCTGTTCCACAAAATTCATATACACTTTGCAGACTTTCTCTGCTGTGTAAATTTTACAATTAAAGCTTGACTTTCTATATGCACATACCACAGATCATCCAATTCTGGGGTGGGGAAAGTATTTTTCCTCAAATAATTTTGAAACATGTTTTGTATTAAAAATTGTTCTCACTAAAAAAAATTGCTCTGTCAGTATGTTTTTCATTCACTCAAACACTTTTACTTCAGAAGTATAGCAAGTCTTCCAACTCATGTATTCCTGAAGCTTTGTAGGAAGAAGTCCTTGAGTTCTTTGTTTCTGGTTTTGTATATCTGTGGTTGTATTTTCAATAAGAAAACTTCTCATATTCCACTAATATGCAGCAGTGCAGGGAGGTATAAAATTGCAGCTGCTTACTCAATACTAACCAGGCACCAGAGTGTTTGGAGGGTTGTTCAAACTGACATCTATGACAGTTCTGAATCCCAATTGTATTCCCCAAAATTTTGGTAAATACGTATACACCACATTGGGTTACATTTTACAGGTCATCCAAAATAAATAGCTGGGCACACAATATTATATTGGATTGTAATAACTGTCCATGGTATCCACTCAAAACAGTTGGAAACAATCTTGTTGTTCCAGAAATGTTTCAGTATACTATAAGTATTTTGAGTTTGTGAATCCAGGAATGCTTCTACAAATATTTCTACTTAATTTCTATTTTTTTTAATTTTCTTTTTTTTTTCTTCTTCTTTTTTTTTTTTTTAATTTTCTTTTTTTTTTCTTCTTTTTGTTTTTTTTTACCCTAGGTTGTTTTGGTTGCTTAGCCCCTTTAAAATATAAATTTGGCATGTTAGGCTAAGTTAAATATTACAATTGAAGGATTTTCTTAGCAAATTGCGGATGATTCTCTCTAATGCCATCCTGGGTTCATCTGTATTACATCTCTTGCCTTAGTTAATATTCTGCTAGAAGTTCTCTGTAGCTTACAGATAATTAAGAAACTGGGTCAGAATTTGGCTTAATAATGCATTACAGAGTACACTTCAGACTGGAGCAAAAAGAGTGGGAATGGGGGCAGGGAGAAATATGTGCATTTCATTATGTTACAGATTGGAGATGGCATCTTGATTCACAAGATACATTAGTCTCTATCACAATTTGAGCACAGCTACTTGCCTTCTGTTTAATAGAGATTTCCATATTGTGTTCTCAACTTGATTGACAATCCAGGATTTAATTAATTCTTTCCCTCTTCAGCGTGACAAAGGTATTCAAATTGTGTCTGCAATAAAATTTTGTATTTTGGAAGAAAGGGTGGAAAGTAAACAATTAAGCTATGAAATGTATCATTTCCAATTAAATTGCAGTTTGTCTGCACACAGTGCTGCATATGCTCCGAGACATCCCACAGCAGTCAGTGCCAAACTCTCATGCACTTCAGAGGGCACAGAATTTTAAATATAACTGAGCACCTTGCTTCCTGCAAAGTGCCAGGGGAAATGTAAGATTATTCACAGAAGTGAGGTATTTCAAGAGATATCTTGAATGAATAGCATGAATATCACAGTGTAGAAGGAAGCAAGAAACCAGAAATTAAAAAACGAACCCTGGCATCAACAGTAACAGCTTCATTAAAAATACAGGATTTTTGTAAGACTTACTCTCTTCTGTGATCTCATTTTGGTTACTGTAGATCTTACAAGATCCTCTAATAAATCTTTAAGCCTTAATCACTCAAATTAGTGCCATTCCTCTGTACATGTACATTTGCAGATCATTTATGGACATCTTCAAGCAATGTAATATTTAATTAAATTCAAGTAGCAGTTAAGCTAATTGGAGCATTAAATCATTGCAATATTTATTATATTTTTTCCATTATATTTCCCTAAAGATAAATTATTTTAATTTTCTTTTTCAAGATCAAAGACCGTGTGTATGGTACTGAGCACAACTGGTTCCACAATTAGTCCCATGGAAGGCATTTCATTCACACAATGATGCAATAATCCACTTCAGGTGTATCAGTAGTTAATTGTCTGCATTTTATGTCCGCATAGAAGCTGAAAATAAAACTTTCAGAATTAAAAAGACATTGTGTCATAGCAGCATCTGAAATATGAGTGGGTGTGACTTGCTGTACCTTCTTCTATGAGATTACATTCAGGACAAGGTTTGGAATTAAAAGGTCATGCACTTTTTCAAAGTGTTTTTCTTAATTTTTTTCTCTATTTTCTGATCATACCCTCACTAATGACTAGAGTGCTAGGGATGTGTCAAATGCTGTCCCAGAATTACTGTTTAATGGTCAGGTTGTTCCCTTAGCATGGTCTGGATCTCCGAGAAAATTGCCCCAGTGTAGTTCAGAGAATAACATGAGATCTGAATTTGGTGCCTCTTGGCCTTCAGACCAGAGACAGTCTCTGCACTGACTTCATGCACTAACATAGACGTAAACAAATGAGAATAGCCTGAGGTTTAGGAGGAGGAGGCAATTGACTCTTCTTCTGTGCTGATAGCTATAATGCATGGAGGTTTCCTTTTTCTTATCAAATTATAAATTAATTTAAGATAATTCTGGGAATCAAATACTAATTTTTAATGTTAATTTTTTTAGATATTATTTTAATTTTAGAGACAGGAGAAACTGAAACAATATGTCTTGCAAAAGTGTTTGTCTAATGCAAGACAGACTGAGAAATCAAGTGTTGCAAGTAGGAGTATTTTCTTCCCAGTGTGTAATTGGAACTAGACCACTTGTGTAAGTGAAAAATCACGTGAAATATCATGTGTAATATCACATTAATACAGTTAAACCACACTGCTCTTCAAATAAAGTGAACTACTAACCTTTTACAATAAAATTGTCATTAAAGGTTTTTATAGATCACCCTTTTTAAATGTCTTTAGCGACTGATGTGGCTTTTATTTTTCACTTATATGTGTTATTTACAAAAACAGAAATAGTACTTGCCAATTCACTAATTGCCTTTGTATACTCACAGTGCAGATAAAATTATCATTAATGTTCCAGAAAGGCTGAGTGATTTTAAGCCATTAGATTTCTTTCCGAACTTGTACATAAATAAATATTTATAGCTTAATTTTTAAAAGGAGCCACTAATGCAAGAGACAATTTAAGAATGTCAAAGGATGTCACAGGAATCAATGATGCAATTAATTTATACTATAAAGACAGTGTTTCATGTATAGCTACCTAATCTTTGTACTTGCAATTCCTCAGGAAAATTCTGTAATATTCAGAAGGGAGTAGCTAAAACTGTCAAACTGAATGTCCTTTAGGAAAATGGCTCTCCTCCCTCATATTGGCCATGGGAGTTGTGAATTTCCAGTATTGTTGAAACTCAGGTTTTATAAGTACACACTTAAAATGCAATACTTAGCTTTAAAAGCAGGGGTTGAAGCAGACACTGAACTTTAGGTAGCACAAATTGTTCTGGTGCCTCTTCTACAAAGATGCTGCCATATGCCCATAGGTTTCCCATCCTGTGTCACTATAATTCTCCTCGAACTTAGAGTACAACAGTCTCCTACTGGCTTTGTATGGCCTTGTCAAATAATAATCACGATTTCTTTCCAGAATTTGCAGGTGATTTGCAGAGGAAGATCTGGTTTTATGTGCAACCTCTTTCTTCAGTTCCTAAGGTGCTTCTATGTAGAGATGTCTACAAACTGCTCCATAGAGTGCATAGACAGCTAGGGGTATTCTGAGCACTTCAATAGTCATTTCCATCATGCCTGAGAGCTGAACTCCTCCTCTCCAGGGAAATGCTCCCATCCAGCAGCTCCTCCTGCTGCTGCTGCTGCATGCACCCAAGCAGGCTAAGCTGGAGAACACTGGTCAAAACAGCCCACACCCACCAGAATGTTTTGCCTTTACCAGTGATTTATGGATATATTTAATTTTCTTTCCTATTCTACTTATTTTGCTGCATAGTTGACATTGCTCCTACTTTATTTGAGCTCAAAAATAATTTCTGGAATATTTCGATGGTCCTGCTTCTTTGTATTTTTATTAGTCTGTTTTTGAGAGACTCTTTACCATGATCACCATCACTAGCTTTTCATAATTTAGCAGTGCTTATTTAGCAAGCCTAATATTTCAGGGAAACAGGTGAATTGGATGCTGCTTTACAATTGAATGTTAGTTAATGTATAAACAAAGCCTCAAGGCAAGAGAACAAAGAAAGAAAGTGTTACCATAAATGATGGAATAAAATTAATTATCATATAAAATGATATCACATCTAATCTTAAAAAACCTGTGTATGACTCTTAACACAGATGGGCCAGAGCTTCCATGAACTTTCTCAGGTTATGGAGACAAAAGAGGAGACCTCCACAGAGTGGTGTTTCCTTTGGGCCTCTGGGTGAGCTACCCATGACTTCCCTCCCTCCTGTACCAGCTGGAGCACAGCCCCCAGCCATAGCTGGGCTTGGAGCCACGCAAACTCTTCTCTTCACTGCTAGCTGTAAATTACTGCAGATTTTTGTTATTACCTTTTATTTTCCACTTCAGGTTTTAGAGTTTCTCTTATTAAACAGAAAACCAATTAATTTCTCCTTCTATCTGATAAAGAAGTGCTGCATTTCATCCCCTTATGTTTGCAGTGGAATGTGTGATAAACAGAAATACTTTTCAGTTTGTACTCAAGCCTGACTCAGGGAATACTTGTTTTTACCTGCCCTTCTCAGGGCAAATCTCTTCTGGGAAAATATAATGAAAATTTCATGAAAACCCTAGCAAAACCTGGGATGTGATGCCTATTAGTAGATCAATCCTGGGAAATACATAATATGTTCAAATAATTATCAAAAAAAAAGAAGAAAAATGAAGACAAGTTAGCTCATTTTAAAATTCTCATTGATGATTTTAAAGTATAAGCAAAATGAATGTAGACCACAGAAGGGAATCTATCAGACAGGTGCAGTGAAAGGATGTAGCATGGAAAGGTTCTGCCACAGAATGATAGAATGGTTTGGGTTGGAAGGGACCTTAAAGATCATGTAGTTTCATTCCCCTGCCATGGGCAGGGACACCTTCCACTCGACCAGGCTGCTCAGAGCCTCACTGAACCCAGCCTTGAGCCAGGGATGAGACAGTCCCATAATATCCTATTAAGTTTCTTAATAAACATCACAGAGAAAAAAAGTATTGTACTTTTACGGCTAAATTTACAATTTATGTTTTTAACCGTGCCTTGTCAATAAGGACAAAGTAGTAATCAATTTTTACATTTATGAACATACAATCCTAAAATGCAGTACATAAGTATATAGTAAAGATATATTTGGTTAGGAAATACCTGCCTTTCAAATATAACAAACTGCCCAAAGAAAACATATCCTTTAACTAAATAAGTTCCATTTACATTATGAAGTAATTTAAACTTTTTTTCATATCTTCTATTTATAAAGTAGAATGCAAACACTGCATGTATCAACTAAAAATAAATATACATGCAGGCTTGAGTGAGCAACTATTTTGTCAATGGAGGTATGGGGCTAAATTGAATGCTTCAGGTTTATTAACAAAAGTTTAATTAATTGTGATGTTGAGCAAAGCCTGGGAAATATTAAGTGATTACACTCATAAGTACTTAGCAATTTGCAGGATCAGGAACCCATTTAATTTCTAAGTGCCCTAATAGCCTTGCTTTGCCTGCAAAATATTTCTAGAACCATTATAAGATTTTCTTAAAACTCTTTTAAAAATTGAAGGTGGGATATACTAGCTTTTATGGCTTAAGTTGGAAAGGAAGAAACAGGAAAGTATTTAAGATCTTAATGTTATATTTTCTTAATGTCTGTTTTGTTTTATAAGCATTTTCAGCTTAAGTGCTTTCTGAAGGTAATGTTATGCACCCTTTGTTTGTTACTGCAACTGGGAAGTGTGTGTGTTTAGCTTGTTTTGTCAGAATAAACAAGATCTTGTTGAATATTAAAATATTCAATATTTCATTTTCTATTACACTCCATCAGGCAAATTGTTTATTAAATGCTTACAAGATGCATTTACAAAAGAGTGCTGAGTTACCCTCTTAATGTTTGATTTTCGTGATGAAATATGTGTCATTGTGTGTTACATTTTTGTTTCATTTCTCACTGTACATGATTGTATCTTTGTTCTTTCTCCTAAGAAATTATTTTCTGGGGGTTATTGATTCACATTCCTTATAATATTCAGCATTCCATTTAAATATAAATCTCCATGACCATATCTACTATAGTTAGAGAAAGAAAAAAAATCTCTTCTAGTTCAGAAATTTTAATTTGAAAGATGAAGGCATAAAAACATTTACCTTAACTCTTGCTTTTTACTGCTTCTTTCTCAGAAAATAGACAATGCTGTCTTAACGTGCAGAGCTCCAGGAAGTCATGTAATACAGGAATAAAAACTTCATTATTAGGATCAAATTATCCACATTTTAAAGGCTCTTTGATGATACCCTTTTCATGTAGTTATCATCATTAACTCCTAACAATGGGCTTGTGATTGCAAAGATGACCTTTGACACTGGTTAATGCAGTGCTCTTTTCCCAGTGCTGCAGATAGTCTGAAGAAACATCACAGCAGGGTGATGGCATCTACTTCTACTTACCTAATTGGAATTGGAGCTCAGGAACGAGGGGCTTGCTTCTGTTGAATACACATAAATGTCAAGTGCCATTGAAGAGGCTTTTAGGGTATTTGAGCTATTCTGTAGCAGAGAGCAGCTTCAGGGAAGTCTGTGACCCCTCGAAATCACGTCTGGAGATTAAGTCCCAGAGGACATCTTGAATATTGTAGGATACTTCAAAATGCTTTAGACACCTATGTGTGAACAACTGAATGACATCCCTAATAATCACCACTTAACATCTGCTGATTCAATTGCCTCACTGCTGGTAGTTTTTTTGGAGTTACCCAGCTGTATATTCAATTAGCACTGCTGATGGAAAAGAACATCCTGGCTATCCAGCCAATTCTCAGAGAAGCTGCTGCACACTTGTATCATGCAGAACTGACTGTGCTGATGTGGTGTTATTAAATATGTCAAGAAATGTGTCTCCTTTTGTTTTCCTCATGCTTTTAGTCAAAATACAAAGTAGCCTCTCACCCAACAGTGCCTTTGCTTCTGAATTGTCTATTGGCAGTCAAGGGGACCAGAGCCATTTGTCACTTAAGCTGTAATCTGTG